TCGACCTGCCCTATCATGACTGCAGGAGAGCAGCAGGAACAGAGGGAGATGACCTACAGCTGTTCCGACAGCTCTAGACAAAGGGAAGCTTTACAATATAAATAGCATTTAAAAAAATTAATATTATTATTAATAATAAAGGGGATCTGGAAGAACAGAGGAGTGTCCCATTCCCAGCCTGGCTGATTCATTAATGCTTCCTCATTTGTAAGACAATAAATACCCCTTCCCACACGTGCTGTCTGGTGCCTCAGTCTCTCCCATTCATTTAATGCTGGAAAAAAGAAAGAGACCCCTTCACTCCCCACTGGTAAAGGCTTAGCTAGTTGCCTTTGTGCCACCAGTTCCTTTCACACACTTAAAAAAACGTATATAATTCTAAAATTCATCATCTGTCATCCCCACAGCCCCCTTCTGAGGAGTGGAGACTATTATTAGTATCATACAACTAAAAACATGGAAAAATAAAATCCAGAAATAAAAGAGGGGGGAAGCCCACCCCAAAATAAGGGGTCCGAGACTGGGTGAACGCCTCACAATGCAGGGAGCAAGAGAGAGCAGATGTCACCCTCAGAGCTAGTGTCCATCTAGAATAGTTTTGTGTGTCTGTGTCCTGCCCTGTCTTCTGTCATCTGCAGGATGAAGTGATGGCGTGCTGGCCCCATGCGACTTATCTGTCCTGTTGGGCCCGTGGGGCCTCGTGGCTGGCGTGGAGTTCGTTTTGTCGCTTACCATCCCGGTGCTTTGTTCTCACCTCGTAAGGGGTCCTCTTAGTAATTTCATTTAAGAGCAAAACCGAACCTGCTGCTGTCTCTAAGGTTAAGGAGAACTTGCCGGTGCGAGGGTGTGGGATGGGGTCAGGGCAAGGGTGGGGTCCAGGGCAGGGGGGGTGGCATGTGGCTCACCCGGAGGCCTGGAAGCATCACTGTGGTCTATGGAAGTAGAAGCCTTCCCTATTTCCCCATCCTCTTTAGTGGCCAGGCTCTCAGGGTCTGGGAGTGACTCTTCAGAGGAGTCTGTGTTCAGATCTTCCTCCTCATCTTCGTCCTCATCATCATCCTCATCATCCTCATCCTCATCATCCTCTTCCTCATTTATCTCTTCCTCCTCCTCCTCTTCGTCCTCATCTTGGGATGAGTCATCTTCGTCCTCCACATCGCCGGAGTTGGATACCATCTCTCTGCTCTCCTGAGGACTTGTCCCTGCTCTGCTAGGTGATGGGGCGGCAGCAGCCTCAGGTAGCTTCTTGCTGAGGTCCAGAGAGTCGTTGAGGCCCACGCCAGCTGCATTCTGCAGGAAGAAGAGGGAGCTGTTGGCATCAGTGCTGAGGTTGAGGGAGCTGTCCAGGTTGACGGAAGAGTTCTGGACGTCATACTCCAGGGTGGAGTGAGGGAGGGCCTCGGGGCCAGGAGAGATGGCTGGCAGCTCCCCCCGCTCCTGTTTCTCATGTTTGCGCTTGTGCGAGTCCATCTGTGACATGCCCACCACAGTGTGTTTGCAGCCGGGATAGGTGCAGTGGAAGTGGGAGCACTTGAGTTTGTACTTGCAGTCGGACACCTCGCAGTCCACACTGGAGCTGAACTGGCAGAAGCCGGCCGCACTGATGAGGTCCTGCTTGCCATGGTGCTTGCGGTGGGCGGTCACCTTGGTGCTGTCGGTGCAGCGGAAGCCACAGCGCAAGCAGTGGAAGTGCGTGCTGTTGCCAGAGAACTGGCAGTCGGGGAAGTTGCAGCTCAGGGAGGACTTAAAGCGCTTGAAGTCATCTAACACCAGGTTGTCGACACGGTCGTGGTGCTGGGCGTGCTTGTACATGTGGGTGCGGCCGCAGAACTTGTAGCCACAGTTCTCCCGGGTGCAGTGATAGTGGGTGACCTTGAGGGCGAACTGGCAATTGGAATCCTTGCAGTCCTCGTAGAGATCGTAGCGCCGAAAACCCTCCAGCATCATTCCCTCATCCAGCATCTTGCGGGAGGAGGCTGTCTTGCGGCGCTTGCCAAATGGAGACATGTCCTCGATGATCCAGAAGCGCTTTTTGGCCCCCGAGGCAGTTGGCATGGTGATGGTATTTCCTGGGGACAGGAAGAGGAGAGTGCTGTTACTCACAGAGGGGCAGCAGGAACTTCTATCACCTCCTGTAACCAACATGGTACCTGTCACACTGGATCATACCCCCAATCTACTGATCAGCTGTGGTCAATGCACAGTGCTGCATTGGAAGCAGCCCCCCATGCAGTAAGTCGCCTAAGCAGCATACTGCACAAGGGCTGAGGAAGGTGTCACTATTAGTGCTCATTCAATATTATGGCAGCAGTGAACCTAATTTCCCCCCAACTGTTTGTGTGGCTTGGCACCAGGAATCCTGTTGAGTTGCTGCTCTTCTAGACATGATACTAAGCATCAGCTGTTGCTTCTTGTCAGGGTCAAAAATCTCCCAGCCTCTCCTGTCACTTTATTTCTAATCCTCCTTCCCCAGGAGTAAGCTCATCCCAGCTGACAAAACGTGGCTCTTTCATTGATCCTTGATTGCTCCTTTCACCCCAAACAATCCCCGAGTGCTTTATAAACTATACACAGCATCCTTCTCCCTGATTGCTGTCTAACAGGGCACAGCAGCACTTTACAGCTATTTAGGACAGGAAGTGGAGAAGACTTGCCGCATCTAATTCAAACTGCAAGGGGGAATTTTTAGAATCAGGATGCACTCTGGCTAGACTAACATAGCATAGCTTTCTGTAGTGAGTCTAAGTACTACACTGATGAGCACACGCAGCTGGATGTTCAGTGTGGGTAATTTTCAAACAACTATCCACTAGGGTCCAAGAGAAAAATCCCACTTTTAAAGCTTTCTCCTGGGCCTAAACAATCAGCCCCCTTGCTGCTAAGGGACCTGTGTCATTTCCCCATCCTTGGAGACACGTTCACTGGCTAGTGCAGGAGTCCCAGAGAATTGAAGTGCATACCAAGAAGTTGACCATCTTGCATCCTTTTCCTCCCTCTTTGGTTATTCCTCAGGCCAAATCAGAGACTTAAGGGCATGATCATCCAGTCTGCCCTCCTCACATCGCAGGCCACAGAGCTTTACCCACCCACTTCTGAAACAGACCCCCTAGCCACTGGTTAAGTTAGTAGTGTCCTCAAATCATAATTAAAGACTTCAAGATACAGAAAATCAGCCATTTACATCTGGCAGTGACCTGGGCCCCATGCTAAGAGGAAGACGAGAAAAACCCTAGCTCCCGATCCAGTGTCCTCAGAGCAGGTCTCAGGGCGGCAAGATGACTTTCACACCAGGTGCAAAATGGTAAATTTCACTGGAAATTACAGTTTCCAACCAGAGTGGGCCTTCCTGAGCTGCATGCAAGGGGCTGCAGCCCATTGAAAAGAGCACGATCTGTATCAAGAGTGTCTGGGTCTCAGTGTCTGATCTAAGAGAAGATGCACCCGGCCATTTGTTTGAATGCTGTAAAGTTCTTTTGCTAACTGTCAGCATGTACTGAAGGTGGTGGATGCTGGTTTTACCATATCAGTCATGGGAGTCTCAAATTATGCCCCTTTAAGCTAGAATGGTGCTTATCAATGGAGTCTCCAAAATGGTGAGTTACATTGAAATGCTGAGGAACAGCACCAGACTGAAACCCTTAGAGACAAAAGAATTTAAACTGCACCAAACAGTGATAGCATGGACAGCAGCAGGCCAAGCTCCCCTCCTCCCCTGCCCCGCCCCAATGCACTGCCAACATCTCTCAGGAGTGAGACCATACCTAGGCATGAGAGACAGGACAGAAGTTTCAATGGCTCATTCAATGTGCATGGTGTCTCTGGTGAGACTGCCAACAGAGACAACAGTTCACAGCGCGGATGCAGCAAAGAACTGCCCTGGACTTCAGTGTCCTTCACCAGGACCTTACTGTACCCTGCAGAGCACTTCTGCACCTTGCCACTTATAAGCCCTGATTTGTGTCTGAAAACAAAGTATTCTTTGGGAGACCCAGACCATGATGGGATAGGGATTCTGTAACCTTGAAATCACTGGTTTGAATGTGGTTGAGCTTCATACTGATGGAGAGTTATTATCTCTCTGGTGGCTGTTAAGAGGTGCATATTAAATCCATGTCAAGGCGCTTAGCCCAGTTCCTGGTGAACATCACCGGGGGTATGTCTACACTACCACCCTAGTTCGAACTAGGGTGGTAGTGTAGACATACCCCCGGTGATGTTCACCAGGAACTGGGCTAAGCGCCTTGACATGGATTTAATATGCACCTCTTAACAGCCACCAGAGAGATAATAACTCTCCATCAGTATGAAGCTCAACCACATTCAAACCAGTGATTTCAAGGTTACAGAATCCCTATCCCATCATGGTCTGGGTCTCCCAAAGAATACTTTGTTTTCAGACACAAATCAGGGCTTATAAGTGGCAAGGTGCAGAAGTGCTCTGCAGGGTACAGTAAGGTCCTGGTGAAGGACACTGAAGTCCAGGGCAGTTCTTTGCTGCACTGCTTTTTTTAAAAGGGATGAGGGGAAAGGCAGCAAGAGTCTCTTCACTGTGCCTGGATCTAGATCTCATTTACACTGTGATAGTTTGGAAGTTAAAGCACTGGGTGACAATGTGGGAGACCTGGGTTCAATTCGGTCTTCACAGTGTCAAATTTCAAAATAATCCACTATTCCGAAACATCCCTTACTTCTCATGGAATGAGGGTTACAGGGACATCAGAATAGTGAGCCTGTTATATTTCAAAATAACGGGCTTGCTGTTAAAACGCAGACTAGCTATTTTGGGATACGTCTGGTATCCTGAAATAGCACTGCAGTGTAGACATAGCCTAGATGCTGTAAAATAAATAACAGCAGCAATATGCAAGTCTTAGGATTAGGGAAGCTAATGGTTAACTGGTAAGCATCACTCTTACTGGGTGTGCATCTAACATTTAACTGGTTCACTGATTAAGCGGGGTTTTACATCCCCCTTTGGGATAATTCCAGGGTAAGCGACCAGACACTGCGGCCCCATATGTCTGTATTACAAAGAAGTATAAACCACTAATGGTTTAAAAGAGGTGTGCACATTACCAAATAACCCCTAATACATCAATAATTCTATATTTTCATAGCACTGCATCGAGAGTAATTAAATTCAGTCTCCAACTGTCTCTTAGAGGTAGGTAAGTGTCATAATACCCATAATACTCATGAACTAGGTGAGGCATAGACTTGTCCAAGGCCATTGATGCCTTTTCCTCACTCAAATGCACATTTAGTTACACCAGTGCATATTTTCCCTGTCCCCTTCAGTGTGAACACTCTGATGTGAAATGACTTTTTAGTTTGGCTTTAGACAATTTTCAATCAGTTTAGCTGAGCTGAAATAAACCTGAGTTAACCAAATTAAGTGTCCATCCAGCCTTTTGCACCAGTTTAAACTCACGTCTTTAATTAACCGAGTTCAACTTCCTTGCACAGGGTGTGTGAAGAGAGAACCACCCAGCAGTTGTGAGCCCCTGTCTTCTCTAACCACTAGACAGTGCTCACTTGCCAGTAACATCTCTCAATAAATTTAGTCCTTAGTAGGTGTCAGCTGTATGTTGCTTATAGTCGCCTGTCCTGCCAGCAGGGGAGGATGAGTCTATATGGTACCTTTCACCTACTGGTGTCAGAATACTTTAAAAGGTACCATTATCCTCATTTTACGAGGAGGAAAGTGAGACAAAAAGAGGTGATGTGATTGCCTTTTAGGAGAGTTCAGTTTCTTGTCTATTGGACCACACTCCCTCTGTGGGGGTGAAATTCACCCCCCTCTGCAGAGGGCCACCACAAGCATAGCTGTCACTGAAATCCCACTGAAGCGGTCAAAACCCCAATGAAACTCTGGGCAGGGCAATGACCACCGTGGAGGAGTTTCACACCTCTGCGTGCTTACACTGTGCCTGGCTGGCAGAGGGAGGGGATAGCTCAGGTTTCTGCATGGCTAGGGTCCTTTAAAGACATACTTGGCCACCACAGATCTGCTCCCCATTAACTGAGATGGCAATAGGCTGGGAAAAGAGGGCAGAGCTGGGCATTCCCTGAAAAAAAAACATTCCCAGGTGGCGTAAAACTCCCCATTTTGTGATGTCATGGAGCTTGTGTGTCACGTAGGAAGCACAGAGGGCCCGAAGTGCCTGAAAACCAGCCTTGCTTTCTGTAGCGGGCAGCTGTAAATAGCTGTGGATGTGACAGACATCACTGAGATGTCTGAGCATGTTGTGTTTCGGCCACCCAGACATAGTAGGTGGCTCAAAAATGGCAGGTTAAATTACACATGGTGATGTTGGATTTGTGTCAGGGTTGACGAGAAATCACTTCTGGTCATGGGAATTTTTCACAGTGATTTACTGTGCTTTTGGATACCTTCCTTGGGTATGTTTATAGCACAATGTCATTGTCTCAGCAGTGGAGAAGGGGATGTATTGTGTGTATGTGGGGGAGCCCCTGGACAGCGTTAAATAAGACACAGAGGGAGATGATAAGGTCTCATTTATGATCCAACAGAGACTGTGGACTGTGGAGGAGGGGAGGGGGGTCTATCACTCAGAGATAAAGCATATAACAATTACCTGCTGCATCCTGAACTAGGGGAACATCACTTTTTACTGGAGGTGGAGTGGCAATGATGGGCGAGAAACCAGGCGAGCTGGTGGTAGGCATGACAATGCCCCTGCTGGATCCGAGAGTGGCACTGAGCAGAGAGTATGAGAGACAAGATGGAGAGAAAAGGTAGGGGAGGGAGGGAAGGGGAGACCTGAGCAAGGCTTGTGAGAAAGATGGAGGCAGAGGTGGCGGTGGAGGTTGTGGTGCATTGTGGGTAGCGTCATCGGCAGCAGCAGCAGGAGGAGGAGGAGGAGGAACCAGGCAGCCTGGAGAATGCGGAGAGAAAAAAATAGCAGAAAAAACAAAACAAAAAGGAAAAACAAAAGAACCAAAATGAGAACCTAAGAGTGGAAGCAATATGATGAAAATGGAAAATACATTCACACATGTATGAAACAGAACTGTAACAGAGAGGAGATGGAGGATGCATGATCGACAGCAGCAGAAGGGGGAATGGGTGTCACTGCAGAAACAAGGAGTGGCCTTAATGGAAGAGGGCAGAGCCACCTGGCTTCCAAAAAGAAATTCCTGCCCTGCTTAGTCTATGTCTGTTCATCCACACTGCACCAGCCTGCTGCTGAGAGGACTCTGCTGCAGGGTGTTACCCCGAAGGCTTATGGATTCACTCAACATGGTTGTTAGTCAGTGGATTGTTCTCCAGGAGGTGTGACTGATGGTGCTATTAGTTAATAGAGAGTCCTGGGAGCTACTGCCCCCCCAAACTCTCTGGAGAAGCTTTAGCACTATGTGCAGCTGTCATTATTATCACTGAATGTTTATGTCCGGGTAGCGTGCAGAGGTTGTCAGTGCCCCATGTGACATGAGAGGTCAGGACATCTTCGTTAGTCTAGCCCCCACTCAATGTCAGCGGGAATCATTTATTACTCTTATTTCCTACTGCTGTTTAAAAGTAATGGAGATGAACACCCACCCCACAGCCCTAAGGTCTGCACTGAACCCTGTGAGCAGGGAAATGCTGGAATCAAGTACTCATCAGACCTTTCACTTCATCAGTGTTGGAAGGGAAGGAAGGAAAAACGTATGTCTGAAAGTAAGGCCCCAAGAGACAGTAAATGTTATAAAGTGACTCAGAAACAAGCAGCCCTGGGGAGAGCCCACAGAAGGCCTTTGTGGAATACTAACAGGCCACCAGAGGTAAGGATGGTTAAGGAAACCTTACCCTCTGCTACAGGGTATTAAAGATGAGTTTTGTATCTGCCAGCTGAAAAGAGAATCCCATAATTTATGAAAGCTTAGGCATGATCAAATTTCACTCCTCAAAACAGGAAGAGATGTTATTTTGCTTTATGCATTTCTTCCTAAAAGAGGACGTGACACTAGGGGATTCCTTCTGTGCATCACTGTTAAGGAGATAGTGGCTTTAGAGGTTTTCTTTCCACATCACAACTCAGTTGGTTGTTTTTATATGTCACTTCCTGAGAAAGTGATGCAAACGATTCTCATTTACTTACAGATCACTCCCTGAAAAGAGAGTGAAGCTAGAGGGTCTCAGATGTCCAGTTTATTGAGCACGGGGGAGTGCATGGAAAACCTCTGACTTCTAGATGAGTTACACAAAAGATACTGGGGGAAGGCAGGGAGCAGAACAGCAAGGGAAATTAACTCTACAGCCCTAATGACTCAACAGCTGTGGTACAGATATTGAGCAGTTCAATTATTCTAACAGGTCCAGTTCTGAAAGATAGCACAAAAACCTCTTCACAGAGGGAAAAAGAAGGGAATGTCAGGAGCTAAGGGACAGCCCAGAACTATGTGGAAATGGCTCCCTCCCTGTGAATGATAGAGGGGAGCTAAGCTAGGGTAAGGCAATATTCTGCTGAGCCAGGGGCTAACGGTATGTCAGAAGGTGCAGTTTCTCCTTGCCCTCTGGTTGTGAGATTAGGGCGAGCAGAGCTGCAAATCTATTTTTCCCCTGCTGCCCCTTACCTGCTGATGTGCTTTCGTTGCCCACTGGAGTGCTGGAGCAGCTGCGGTCCATATTGGAAGATTCAGAGGAGATTCCCCCGGGGCTACAGCCAGTGTAATCCATGTATTCATCTGTTTCTGTGTCCATCATGCTTTGGGGTCCCTGAAAGGAAGCTGGGGTTCCTGATGAAGCTGGGCTGGGTGCCATGCTGCCAACATGGGGGAGATTTTCATTTCTTGAAGTGTGGCCAATAACCTGCAGCAAGAAATTAAGACAGGGACCAAAGGCAAGATGTCAAGATCAAAACCATCTGTGCATGTTTAGTTTTCTCTGACATTGTTCTTCAGGGATAGTTGGAACATGTTGGCAAGTGGATCCTATAACACTGAGGCTTGGAGCATGAATCCTGCCTCAGTCGGAGGCTGTGAGTGATAATCTTGGTACCACTACTTTGGTGTGTGGATTCTGATACCTTCAGATGGGAGTGTGTAGTTTGACACTGATGCCCTTATCTGTGTATCCTCCTCTACTTAGAGATTGGGGCTGTGACACTTAGCACTCCTGCCCTGGTTATGTGGAGTGTGGTGCATTCAGAGACTTAGTTTGGGAGCCTTGGTCTTAGCACTGTAGGGAGGGTACCCAGCCGTACTCAGCCCAGTGCCTTTCTGCAGTGAGTGATCAAAGGTGCAGCGCTACATACATATCTGCTGCTTAAATAACCAGTGGAGTCACCTGCGTGGGAACTCGGTCAAAATTCTTCCCCAGCATCCTTCTCATGTGCTTCCTGGCATGGGATGTCATTTGGTGCTTGAGCAGGAAGGAAAACTGGCAGCCCTCTCGAATGCAGTGGAAATGGCTGTTCACCTGGTTATATTTGCAACCTGCAGGCACAAAACCAATACAAATCTGGTACATTAAGATAGCAAGAGAGAGGAAGAGTTGTATCAGCCTACTGGAGGTAGTGCCAGTCTGCTGCTGTATTGAATCTTAATGGTCTGGAGCACTCTGCAATGGCTATGGATTCTTCAATGACTGCCCCAGACCCAAAATTAAATCCTTCCCAAGCTAGGGAGAAAGGATGTGATTGATTTAGACTAGCGATGTAAGCTACTAGTTGACTACCTGACAAGCCTAGGCTTATTGGGTACTCGAGTCACTACTCGACTAGTCACTTCCCCCTCCCCCTTTGCTGCCTCTGTATTAGAGGCAGCAAGTGGGGAAGCAGGAGCCGGTGCTGGGGGGGGAATTGGATTAAAAACTGGTTCCCCCCAGCACCATCTCTGCGGGGAGCAGGGGAGACAGGAGGCGCAGCAGGAGAAAAGGCACAAGCTGGGACTGAGCAGACCTGGCTTGCGCTGGGTCCCAGACCACCTGGTGGCTCTTACTACATTTAAAAAGCAGAGCCGCAGGAAACCCCCTTATTGATTAATCGAGTAGTTGATGGAAATTCCATCGACTACTCAATTAGTTCCCTAACCACTATTTAACATCCCTAATTTAGACACTCTCTCCCTCTTGTGACATAAGGAACAAAAAGGAAATATATTATTAATGTTGATTATGTGCATTGTGCCAGCACATAGAGACCCTCAACCCTAGACCCAGACTCTGTAGCCTGCTAAATGCTGTACAAACGCACAACTAGACTGGCGCTGTCCCAAGGAGCTTACAATTAAAATTGAAGGTAAGAATAATATCAGGGTTTGTTCCATGTTGGAAGCAGCTAGTTCCTTTTGATCTAACAGTATGCTCTGGAAGCAGAATGATCCTTTGACATCCTGGGCTGTAAGGCTTCTCTGTCCCATTCCCAACCTTCCAACTCTGGCCAAAATGTGAAGAAACCAGCAAGTGTTTGTTGCCACTCCTGGTTTGATGACCTAAGGGCTGAGACCAGGCCAAGGGTACTGGAAACAGATTACATGGATTCTAGCATATTGGACTTGTCTCCAGATAGACAAGGAGAATCCATTATTTTCCAAGCAGTCCCACTAGAGTTTCCTTTATGGGAAAATGCTGGACTTTGCCACACACAGGCTGCCTCATGCATATCACTATGAATCTGTGGCCAATTGCCAGACAATCCCCAGACCGCATCCTGTAGCTGAAGTATAGCTTGCTACAGTAAAACCATAGGCACACACACAAAAGACAAGGTGTTGCCAAAGAGCTCCTGAATCATTCACCCAGTCTTTAAGGTGGGGATGGCGCTTTATGTGTATGCCAAGTTTGTGTTTGTTTAGATATTCTACCTCCTCCCTGTCCCACAACCCTACCTCATCTGTCCTCCCCATCATGTTGTGCTGTTCTTTGGGAGGAAGAACAAACAGTGCTAGCGGGACTGAAACAGTATCAGCAAAAGGCAGGTGAAGACTTGCCCGTTGCTAGGGCAGCGGGGCAGGCTGAGTGTCATATATCATCGCCCTGCTTTGTCTAGCCCCGGCTATCACCTGAAACACCAAAAGTTGAGTAAATAACAGCAACTGCTCAATCTCCTGACATTTGTAAACCGAGACCCAGGTAAGGACCGGAGTGTTGACACCTGTTGCCCTGGTTACCATGGACGACTTATCGCTCAAGCATAAATTCTTTATGAATTAAAAGCTGAGGGGGAGCATTTTTCCAGGCAGGTTTGTATTTTTGACCGTTGACTCCCCCTCCCCTACTTCTCAACTGAGTAAGCTGTGTCCAGGGAGGAACAAAGGGACAAAGAGACTCAGCTATATTGCTGGGGCCAAACTGCTGGTTGATAGAGCAGGCTGGTTTCCTTGAGTCAGAAATGAGTAATTGGTGCATGAGTCCTATGCAGTGGGGTGGAGGCTCTGGGGCCCTATCTGTGAGGAATTCTCCTAGTCCAGTGGGCTGGACCGGGGTTCTGTGGTGCGGTCAGTGGGGACTAGCTCTGCCTCTCTCTTTGGGGCAGTTGCTTTCCCTGCTTTTTGCTGGAAGATTTTAGGTGCTGACATTTCATAATTTATTTGGTACTACCTAGTGAATCTGGCTAGTGGGCAAACCAAGGTGCCCAGCACATCACCTTGTATCAGATGTTCTGATGTGCTGACACTCCAGTAGAAGCTGGTACTGAAAGAAGCTACTGTGGAGGCCGAGGGCGGGGAGGAGGAGGGGGAATCTATACCCTGCCTGAGGTTGAATATTTATCCTTTGGCTTTTGATATGCAGCCCTGGCCATGAACATTAAAGAGTTTCATCTTAAATTGCTTGGAATTAGTAAAATAGTTAATTGGGAGATGTAAAAATCCTTTTCACGTGAGGGAGACAGTTGACTGTACACCGTCATCAAAACACACATTTTCCACCATTCTTTGCCTGCTCTCAGACTGAAAACACCCAGCTCAACCCACTCCAGCCCAAAACAAGCAACAAGCTCATCAGAGTGCATGGTGCAAGAAAAGGCCTCCAACAATCAGAAAGAGAAAAGCTGCTCCTCCATACGTCTGGTTGTTCCATATGAAAGCAACTCACAAGGCAGATAACTGTAAGGCTTTTTCATTTCTGCCTTACAGTTATCTTGCAGCAGTGTGGAGATGGCCACAGCATGTAAGCTCGCAGGACCTTGGCCTCATATCAGAACACTGGGGCTGCGTCTAGACTGGCATGATTTTGTGCGAATACTTTTAACGGAAAAGTTTTCCCATTAAAAGTACTTGTGCAAGAAAGCATCTATACTGGCATGTGCCTTTGCACAACAGATTTGCTTTTGAGCAAAAGCATCCGTACCAGTGTACACGCTCTCTTGTGCAAGAAAGCTCCAATGGCCATTTTAGCCATCGGGCTTTCTTGCGCAAGAAATTAATGCTGCTGTCTACACTGGCCCTCTTGCGCAAGAACACTTGCGCAAGAGGGCTTATCCCTGAGCGGGAGTGTCAGCGTATTTGCACAAGAACCACTAATTTTGTACATTACAAAATACTCGCAGCCAGTGTAGACAGGCAGCAGCAAGATTTTGTGCAAAATCGGCTGCTTTTGCGCAAAATCATGCCAATCTAGACGCAGCCTGGGGATATAAGCTAATGCAGAAATAGATCTCAGATACTCCAATATTTAGGCACCAAAGGGAGCTTAGAGGAGAAGTTAGAGCTGTTCCCCACCATGCGTGGAGTGCGGGGATTGATGTTTCTTCTTTTAACTCTTTGTCTCTTCAACATCTGTCAGTTTGTGTGTCAGCTACAGTGTGTGTGTGCAGCCTATGGATTAGATAGGGTATGTCTAGATTACATGCCTCTCCCGACAGAGGCATATAAAATAGGCTACCCAACATAGTCAATGAAGCAGGGATTTAAATATCCATGGCTTCATTAAAATAAAAATGGCCACCGCGCTGTGCTGGCTCAGCTGATCGTCGGCGCGTGAGTCAAGACGCAGATTGGTCGACAAGGGAAGCCTTTGTCGACTGCTCCCTTATGCCTTGTGAAACGAGGTTTACAGGAGCGGTCGACAAAGTCTTCCCTTGTCGACCAATCCGCGTCTTGACTCGCATGCTGTGTCGACGATCAACTGAGCTGGCACAGTGCGGTGGCCATTTTTATTTTAATGAAGTCTGGGATATTTAAATCCCTGCTTCATTGACTATGTCTGGTAGCCTATTTTACATGCCTCTGTCGGGAGAGG